CTGTGCAATTGTAGCTTGTTTTGGAAGCCTCACTAACCCAGTGTGACTTGACTGTTCAGTAGCCCTCTTTCAAGTACTTGTCTCACCCATATTTCAGCCCATGTCAACTTTCCACATCCATGGCACCCTTGGGCACGGACATCTGCAGATATGCTACGTGCAGCTGCCAGAACTGCCACACTTGTTATAAAGCTGGATCTGACCGGTTTCTGTTGACGCCCTTGATTTTTAAGCCAGGAGAGATGGTAAATGGTCGATTTTTGACCATCCTTTCCATGGAATACATATTTGTGTAAACCTTGACCATATCCCCTTCAGGTCATCTTTTTTTCCAGGCTCCATTATTTCTAACATAGAAACCATTCCCTAGTGTTTGTCAGCATTGTTGCTCTTCTCTTGACACATTCTCGGGAGCACCTGTAAATTGAACAAACAATAGCGACAACAGCAAAACCCAGATGTGTGCTGTGTATTTGTGCAAGGCAAAGGGATCTCTTTGGAAATGTTTTCTGTCTAGTAACTATATTCAAAGGCACAAATTAATTTTTAAAGGAAATTTAGGATTAGTATTGTCAGTTGTTGACAAATACTGCTTTAGAGTTTCTAAGTGAAGGAAAACTGCTGTAGAACTGCAGGGGTAGAAACATCCCTTCAAGCTGCGTGTTCAGCGCTGTCAGCCCTGCACTTACGGAAGATATGGAAAAATATAAAGACTTTTTTAGTTGCTCGGAGTGATTAGACCCAGGATAATAGTCCTAAGAGCTCAAGTTTCTCCTTTGGATTAAATGACTACTGGCTGTAATTACTGATATGTAAGATACCTTGATGCAACTGCTGTAGTGCCTTTGGATGTGGTGAAGACATAGCCTACACTCTTCTGAGATGGGGAGACTTTTCACAAAAGGTTCCTCATAATTCTGTCATGAGTTTTTATTTATTCTTTTGATGTGTTAATGCTGTGGCAGTTTCTATGTGCTCAACCATCCTTTCTATCATTATGCTTATCTTGCAATAAGCCTTGAATCAATGTTCTCAGGTACAGTTTTGCACGCTTGTTCTTCTGAAAGGGACCTGAAAGTCCACCTCCTTCCCAAAGGGTAAATGTTTATCACTTTCTGAAATGTGGCTTCTTCAAACTACTTCAAGTCAGGCACCTGAAATGACCAATTGCATGCGGAAAACCTGAGCTCCGCATGTGGAGAGGTCAGCTCTTGCCATGGTTATCTGAGGTTCCTGTGAAGGTACAGGTTTTGCAAAGACACTGTGTACTCAGAAGCTGAGCTACAGCACTTTCTGGGTGAGATGGCTGGATGGCAGGGATGAGTGATGCTTCTTCCTTGCCCATTCATTGAATGGAGAGGCATTCAAGTCCTGGCTGTGATATGACAAGGGAGATTCGAATGACTGTGTGACTGACATTGCGTTTCTCCCTTGCCTTTCCCCTGTTTTTCAGAGCTGTTTCCTGTGGCATTTGCTGTGGCCCTGGGCGGGTGGGTGTAGTGGCAGTGCAGGGACCAGGCATCTGCAACTTCCTGGGTCCTGCACTATCCCTTGTTTCCTGACCTTGAGTCTAATCACCCACCTCTTGCCTCTGCTGCCTCCTCTTATCCCCTGTGCACCGCCTGACTCCCAGACGGGGCTTGGGAGATGGGTAAGCCAGCGGAAGTGTTGAGAGCTGCCTGACTGTTGTTGGGCTTACTCTTAGCTCAAAAGGCTGGCAACAATAGCCTTCATCTGTAGGGGATAAGGATCAGGGAACACTTCCTCCTTATCTCGAGGGATTTGCTGTCTTCTGGAAAAAAACAGGCGCACAAATCTGTAATTTCTTATTAATTTTAAAGTAGCACTTGGCTCGCTACCTCCTCCATATCAGCCCTTGCGTTGTCAGTAAATCATATTGTATTTGCAATTAAAAGCCAGCTGTGCCAGTGCAGTACCAGCCAAATGCCACCATAACTGTCTCCTGGGCGTCCTAGAGAAGGTGCGGAGTACACAGCTCCTCCTCCAGTGAGCTCTTCTCTCACTTCAAGAGGGAAAGATAAGAGTTTAAAATGGGATCTCAGGCGCATTATTTTTGTTAATCAGAATGCTTGTTCCATAAGAAATGCAGTTCTTTTCTGGATGCTGTGTGTTCATGGATATAGCAATTCCCAGGGCTTGAAGAATGCCAAACATCATACAAAAGGCAACTGTTTGAGGAGAAAACTTGTAGTGCTGGATGTCTGCCTCAGGCTGATTGTTTTTCTCTTTCCGTCTCTTGATTAAAATAGTTTGTTGGAGAAGTATCTCTGCCTCTGCTCTGTGGAGTTCTTTTAAGTTTTGAAAAGCATTTGTACCCAACTGTGTTGGAGCAGGAGTTTGCAGACAGGCACAGGGAATAGAACTGTGGATGTGCTGCTCCTTGCCCCTCTGGAGATCCAGCCTGTTCCTCCAACTGCTAAGCCTTTATGTCTGTCTCACTTCTGGGATAACAACTTGCTGCAAGTTGTAACAAACCCCCTGACTGTTTTGTCTTCCATCCACACTGGAACTAGGCAGGACTGTTTTTGCACTATCTTCTTCTGTCCTCTCAGCTGCCTGGGCTCCTGGAACCAGAACAGGAACAAAGGAACTCTTTGGCTCTTAACTCTCTCACTTTTGGTTGGATTAGGAAGGTGCAGCAATCCAGTGCAAGAGGGAATAGGAGAGGAGGAATGTCTGTTCTAAACCTGGAGGAGGAATCCAGGTTTTAGGGTTACAATCAAGGTCCCAAAAACCACTGGCAAGGGAAGAAAGGAAGTGTATGTAGTGCTGGCCATGGGGGTGGTGGGATTTGACATCTACCAAAAGGTTGCCTGCATCAGGGCACAGAGATCTGTGCTGTGGGTCCCCAGGGTTGTGATCTTGCCAGCGAACTTTTGGAAGGTTGTGTCTGATAAAATGGTGGTTTTCAATTAGATAGCTGGAAAACTCCTCAAAGAATTCCTGTGTAAAAAATCCAACACTGTATTAAAAGATTGCACAACAAGGTCATGCCCTTAGCTGACAAATACCTGGATGAGTGTTGTGTGTTAATTCCTACTGCTGCATGTTTGATTTGTTGTGCAGTTTTAATTGTGTCATTGCGTATGGGGTATCTGCATGCTGTAGCAAGGCTCCATGTGAATACAAAAATTGGATTATGAGCTGTCTTTAAGTGTGTAAGAAAGATATTACCCTTCCTGCTGCTTTAAAAACAGTTTACTTCAAAGGCTATAGTATTTGCTTTGTCCTTTGGCCTTTATGGGGTGAGAGAAGAGGCTGTCTGCACCTTAGATGTGTTAGTTGTCTCTAGTGATATCTAGAGATATCCTTCCTCAGGATGAAGGGATTGGTACAGCGAACAGTGGGGGAGCGTTTGCCTCTGTTGTTCCTCTCCCTGTTTGTTTCAAACGTGCTAGCTTTCCCTGGTCCTCCCCTTAAATCATATTATTTCATAAAGAGTAAAAAGAAACATAATTTGGAGCAGCAGCAAGCTGAGCCCAAGTTAATAGTTTGAATTGCACTCCATCTGTTCAGCTGCATGCCCTGATGGATGTGCTGAACCCATTTTTCACAATTTGTTTTAAGCTGCTAAGAACCATCTCTCCTGGCTCCAGTCCAGGCTGACTGTGGAGGAAAACTTCATATCTGGACATCCCTGTCCAGAGGGTGGGATTGAATCAATAATCTCCAGATGCAAGGCTACCTCTTCACCTGCAAGATGCCAGTTTTTGAAAGGTTAAATCCTTCTCTGTACTTGAAAATTGTTGTTGAAAATTAGAGGGAGGGGAAACCCCCAACATACACAAGCACAGAGAGGATGAAATTTGCAAACGTGATTATGCAGGACCTGCTTTAAATCGGCTTATTGCTGTTTTATGATGGCAAGCAAGCAGTCACAGAAGCCAGGATGATTGGCCTTGCCATGTGTGCAGGCTGCTGGTAACTCAATAACCGATGAACACCCACCGTGGTCTCCAGACCTCGAGCCTTTGATGTAGCAACAAACAAGATAGATTGCTGTAATTTATCCGGCCCCTGGAGGGGCTGTGCTGGTAATGTGCCATGAGCCCAGGGGCCAGCCATCCATAATCTGTGTAAAAATACAGTGGATGGCGGTCACCATGCCGCGGGGTTGCCTTTGTTTGGTGCTGCACACGTCTGTGTGTGTACAACGCGCTGCGCTGGGTCTCGACTTCAGCAGCCAGGGGCAGTAAAGCCTCAGTGTAACGTGCCCACTCCCTCCATTAACTTCAGTTGGTTTTGTTATGTACTAAATACACACCTTTCAAAGAGACTTGGAAAGGCAGTGCTGGGAACTCTGTGTGCCTTTACAAGCATAACAGAGACTGGAGAAGGTGTGCTGGGTCTGTGGGAAAAAGAATGGGATTTTGTACCAGCTGAAGCCTCTGGCAGGTTTGCTGATGGAGGGCAGGAGCTTGGGGCATTGCAGCTGGGGGGCCCAGACACTGAAGGAGAGGGAGTGTGGCCTCCTGGCTTGCAGATGGGCCTCTCTCCTGGTAGTCCTGATTGGGCTGTGCCAGGAGAGTAGGGAGTCACTGCTGAACTTAGTAGCCCCAAGCAGCAGCTCCCTGGCCACCCTTAACACCTCCTAGTGCCCTCTGGCAGCAGCCTGTGCATGGGATCACAGGGTGTTTGAATTAGAAAGTAAAACTAGTACTGAAAACAAAGACCTGTCACCTTGAGCTTCTGGTTTGTTACTGTGCAGTGCAGTGCACTTTCATGCATGGATTCTTAATGCTGCCCAGCAAGGGCTTTGTGTTACCTCTACACTGCTACTTTCATGGGGCTTTTTGAAAAACGTTTCCACTGAGTCAGCAAGAAAGCTGGGGGTGCTGTGCCAGAGCCTGATGTGCCAGCTGGAAATGGGGTGCGAGGACTTGCCCGGCATGGCCATGGAAGGAGTAGGACAGGTATATCCGGGTGAGGTTCAGGGATTGATTGTCGGGAAGTAATGCTGGACTCCTCTCCTCCCACAGGCATGGCACTGGCCCAGCGGCAGGTGACGGTGCAGGAGGGACCCCTGTACCGCACAGAGGGGTCCCACGTCACGCTGTGGTGCAAGGTGAGCGGCTACCAGGGCCCGGCGGAGCAGAACTTCCAGTGGTCCATCTACCTGCCCTCGGCCCCCGAGCGGGAGGTGCAGATCGTCAGCACCATCGACCCCTCGTTCCCCTACGCCATCTACACCCAGCGCGTGCGCGGCCGCGGGATCTACGTGGAGCGGGTGCAGGGGGACGCCGTCCTGCTGCACATCACGGAGCTGCAGGACCGGGACGCCGGGGAGTACGAGTGCCACACGCCCAACACCGACGAGAGGTATTTCGGGAGCTACAGCGCCAAGATGAACCTCGTGGGTAAGCTGTCCTGCTAGCAGCAGCTCATCCGGGGCAATGGGGGAGCACGGCACAAACCCTTGGACCCCCATGTGCAATGGAGTTTACGTAAGCTGTCAGGAAAGAAACCCAGAAAACTGTAGAGGAGAATAGGAGCAGAGGGCAGGTGGCACAGTGGTATGAATTGCAGGAGATCGTGGTATAGAGATGTAGGACATACTGAGCTTTCTCCAGTAATAAGACCCTTACAGAAATGAGACGCCAGGCAGAGGAACGTTTGAAGCCATAACTGAAAGAAAGACAGATGTAAAACTGATTTAAGCAGAGGAAAAGGAGTAGGGAGTCTGCATCAGATGGCACAAACCACAGAGGAGAGGTGGCTAAAGGTGGCGAAATAGCAGAGCAAGGAAGAGAGGAGCGATAAGGAGAGGCACCTAAAGGAAACAGGAGAGATGGTCGTCTTCAGGGTCTTAACAGAGGGTGGTGCTGAATGCAGCCTGAAACCATCACACTGATGAGATTGAGCTGTCTGTAGATGAACGTGGGGAGGTTGGTTTGATGGTTTTTTTGGTCTGCATTAGAAAAATCAAAAAGAGGTTCTCTAAAATCTGGAGTATTTCCACAGCACCTCTGACTAGCTGATTTGACGTTTCCAAGCTTCAGCTTTGCTTTCTGTACCTCAAAACAGGGTTGTATTTGAAGAGTCTAACTCGGCTAACAGTCAAAAAGCTTTCATCAAACTCTTTGGCTGAAGGACCCCTGAAAGAGCTCCTTTACAGCAGAGACATCCCTCTAGCAAATTTAAGCCCACAGGCAGCAAGCAGGCTTGCTTTCCCTGGGGAGGAGATGTCTGTGAGCCTGCAGGTTGGAAACCATTTGGAAGTTACCCAGCCGTGCAAACCAGTGAGGGTGTTGTCGGTTCAGGCGTTGTTGACACAGGGAACCCAGTGTGAAGGGAGCCAAAGTGTGATTTAAATCACAGTAGCTCTCTTCTGGGTTGTGCTTTTTGCTTCCAGCTTGTGTGGCCTTGGCTTCTTCTCTTCAGTGTACAGGTGAAGTCCCACAATATGGGTGCAGGTGCTTATTTAGCTGCCTGCTTTCCCACCTGATGTCCATGAGCAGCAGGAAGGTAGATGCCTGAATATTCTTCTGTTCTTTTGTAGTTCTGTGATTTGCTTCAGGTGTTCAGATTTGCAGTTCCCACTTCAGTGTAAACAAGACTGAGTCAGCACTGCTGCTGTAGAGTCACCTGAGGGAGTGAAGCCCATTGAAACCAACACCCAGTGAAAAAAAAGTGCCTGTGGGCAGGGTGAGGTTGGAGCAGTCAGAGTTGGATGCTGGGTTGCTCTGCCAGGGAGCTGTTTTCCCTGTGGTAACCTGTGAGCTGGATCCTTACAGGAGAGGCACTGGATCAAGTGAGAGTACCTGTGTTAGCCATGGAGTAGGGTCAAGTTCTTCAGGATGGGCCTGCAGGCAAGCACAGTCAGCATATCCCATGGCTGGACAGCAGGGAGCTCCTCCACTGCTCTCACGGGGTTTGGGATACCAGGACAGTCCTGGTTGTAACCACAGCTCAGCAGCTGCTTTGATGACCAACCAAGGCTGGACTGGTATGCTTTTGCTCTGACCTACCCTTGCTACAACTATGTGGCTTTTAAGATTTGGAACTCTGTAGACACCCATGAGTAGTGCTTTGAGGACATTGGCTTTGGGGCTTACATGTGTCAGAGATACTCAAGAAAATGAATCTAAAGTAACTTTTAGTGGATTAGTTAAATCACATTATACCCCTTCATGGATGCTTGCGTTCAGGATTTTGGGCCCTAATTTGGTTTGGCTTAATTAATTTCTGAAAATTCACTTGAGAGATGACTTAGGGTCACTTGTCTTTTGAATGTGTGCATCTGTGTAAGGTGTTTTCTGTGGTTTAGACAAACTCTGTCCGAAACTGAATTTTCCAGAGCGCTTCCTGTAGACAACAGGTCCTTACAAAGAGCCTTCCCTCTGGCTCCCATTCCTGTGAACTCGTGCTGACTTCAGCCCTGTTGGACCCTGAAGTCCTGCCGGGGAAATGGGCTTTTCTCTGTAGGGCAGGACAGAGCACATGCCCTTTCTTTTTTCCTACTATTTTAGCTCTCGGCTACAGGTCTTGGATTTTCAAGCTGGCTTTGTTTCTCCAGACAGTGTGCAAGAAGAAGTAGACAAGAGCTAAATGAGAGTTATTATTCTCATTTTCTCAGAACCAGAACCAAACTTCTTTTTTTCTTTCATCCAGTTATGAATTTTTAATTGACTCATTAGATTTGAGTGGCTCCTTTTTGGCAGCAGTGATGCCTGAAGGGAGACAGGTTTGTTAGCATCTCTGTTCTCTCCATTTACGTGTGAAATGGATGGGTTTGAAGCAGTGTTGATTTTAGACTTGCTGCTCTGGGATGTTGGACCTGTTGAATCCCGTGGTTTAGTAGAGAGGTGAAGGAATGTTTCTTCCCTTTTCCACCTGCATGATACAGCCCTGTGATGGGGTAGGTGGATGGGGCCCTGGTGCAGCAGCACGTGGGGCTGCTGTCCGCACTGGGACGTCTCAGCTCGCAGCAGAGCAGCTGGAATGTGTTCTCTGCTCCTGCCATCACAAGCATTATTGACAGCCATGTATCCAGAGCCCTGCAGCTGCTAAAAAATAATCTTGTCAGCTTCAGCAGTGTGCCAGTTGGGCTTGAAAGTACACTTCTGTCTACCTCATGAGCAGTAAGCATGGTTGGTTCTCCCTCTCCTATTTTTGGTGTTTCCACTCAAGATTCCTTTTCTTTTGGCCAGGATCTAATACTGCTTTGAGGACCTGATGGCCTGGAGTAAGAACTACTCCCCAGGCACTCTGTGGGCCTCTTATCTGAATTTAGGCATGCAGCACAAGTGCTAATCTCACTGAAGCTAGGAAATGAGGCCAGTCATGTGGTTCAAGGGCCTTCTGCCATGCAAACATGTGTATCAAGGCTTAATCTTTTTCACAACCAGTCTTCAATTTCCTTTTGTTGCTTCAAAAACGAGCCTTTCTGTATCTTGCTGCTTCTTTTCTAGTCACCTCCTGAACTGTGTCACTGGGAAGATGTTGTACCTGTGCTGTGAGGTGTGTTAGGAGGAAGAGTTTAGGACATGTCAAACTGAATTGTGGGTGCTGAGGGAGGTGGCAAAAAAAAAAAAAAAAAAAAAAGGGAGGGGTACAGCCCTTCAGGATGTGGTGGAACCATGGCCTTGTGATTGATATATGAGGAAGAATTGGCCCATGTACAAGGTCTGCAACTTTGTGTGCCCTCAGAGTTCAGTTCCCTGAGGCTGATACAAAATTGTTGAGGCTAGTTCATGCTCTTTTACTGAGCGTGGGGAGGGGAAGATTTTGGAAGATCTCCCAAGTGGCCTCCCACTCATTTAACACCAGACTCATTGCATAAGGTAGATGTTAAGGCAATATCTGCCATCAGAGGACAGAGAGGGACAAATCTGCAGAGCAATTCACGTTCGTGTAAATTAAATGCATCCTTCTCCATGTTGACTAAAGGGAAAGCCTAGATGTTAGACTCATGCTGGGCAGTAGTGGCTGAAGACTTGGCTGCTTTTGGAAACTTCCCCCATAAGTCTTCTGAGCAACTGATGGGAATTTTGGCTTTGTGGTTGAATTGGGAAGGCACTTAAGCATACTGAAGAGGGGAGTTACAAAACTTATATTTTATTGATTAAATAGGGGATCTGGGGACCATACGCACCTGACTGACAATTGTACTGGGACCCTGGCCTGCTTGTTGCTGTCTGTGAGGAGTCTGTGGGCTGTTTATTCACTTTTTGAAGAAGTTAAGGACAGCAGAGGATTTGCAGATGAAGGGAAGCAGCATCCCAGAAACACAGCGTGACCACTGACAGGACAACGGTATTTTCCAGAAGAGGAGTTTTCTGTGCAGTAATTTTAGGTGGTGAAGCTGCAAGGATGGCTGTGCAAACTGAAATGCTGGTTTGTGCTTCTCATATTGATGGGTAAACTTGCTATAGGGTAGAACTGAGCACGTGGCAGTTCCTTCAGTGTGCGTGAGTCACTGCAGATTTGTACTCCACTGTGTCTCTGCAATGAGTTGTTTGTGTGCCTGTACCCTTCCTTAGATAACAGCGAAGGGGCCCAGGTCTAACCTCTTCAGAAGCTTCAGACTTTTATCTCTGTGTTTTTTCATCTGTGCTCCCAAAAACGTTGAGCTCTTTTTCAGAGTAAGAGATTTGAGGGAAGAAATCAAGCTTTGACGTTTTTCTTAAACAGGTAGTGATAGAGCAGGAGGAAAGGTTTCAAAGCACTTGAGGGAGTGGCAGCCCTTTTACTCTTTATTTTGGGGGAAGCAACAGTACAGCATCAAACCCAAACAAGTTAAAGCAAAAAAAATGAAAGGGGTTTGGATGGGAGGAGAGACCTCGGTACCACAGACTGGGAAGAAACCATTTCACTGCAGACTTGAAAAACAAGGAGCACTCAGAGGCAGCTGCCTCTGCAGTGGGCAGGAGCTGCTGTGCAGTTGGTAGTGCCTGCAGGGCTGGTCACCAGCATCTCCTTCCTGCCAGGTTTAGGTGAAAGTGGGGCAGAGAGGCTTTGTGCTAGCTAGGGGCTATTCAGTGGCTCCCTTGGCTACCCTCTCAGCCTGGCCACACTTCCGCCCTCTGCTACTTCACTCTGGTCTCACCCTGCCTCGGTAGGCTGGTGCCTTGACCTCTGCCCGGTCCCCCTGGTCCTGCATGGCTGTGATGGCTCCCAGGGGCTGGATGTGTTTTTTTTGGCTGGCAGCCCCACTATAGTGAAGTTTCAGTGTCGTGCCAGGCTTAAGGAGTGGTGGTGGGCAAGGGCATTGGTGGAATGAAGAGCCAGCTGCCTCTGCCTGAGGTCACGCTGGCTGTGGCTCTTCTTGGTGGGGTCTTGTCTCCTGATGCTGAGCTGCCCAAGTTGCTTGTAGCTCTCTGCACCAGAAATCAGTCCATGCTTTTAGGAGCGTGTC